AAAAGTTTAAAACCATTTGAACTGGCAAAAGCACACAACAATCTGATTGCTTCTAGTCTAGCTACCGGGGCAAAAGATTCCTCAAAATCTATGCCTTCCTCTTGGCAGTAGCCTTGAGCAACAAGCCTATACTTATTTCTGATGATTTCCCCTATATCATTTGATTTGTTTTTATAAATCCACTTAGTTCCAATGATATTGACATCAACAGGCTTAGGAACGAGTTCCCATACTTTTGCTCTGTCAAATTGATTCATTTCCTCATGCATGGAAGCTAACCAAAACTCATCTAACATGGCTTCTTCTACAGATTTTGGTTCTATTAAAGAGACAAATGTTGTATGATTGGAAGAGGTCTGTGATCGAGTGGTCATACCTTCATGTAGCTTACCTATTACCAAAGATGGAGGGTGTCGCTTGCTGATGTGAGGAGGTGGATGAAATTCTCCATGTTCTGGTTCTGCCTCGATATTTTCTTCATTATCTGCCTTATTTTCTTTACTGGCAGTCGCCTCAGCTTCGGTAAGGATGCTGCTCCTTCCAAGTCCGAAATCATCATCATCTGATTCTTCTGAAACCTCACACACAGATTCGTCAAAAATAACATTTATGGACTCCTCAACCTTGAGGGTCCTCTTGTTAAACACTCTATAAGCTCTACTCACACCCGAGTATCCCAGAAAGACAGCCTCATCGGATTTAGCGTCAAATTTTCCCAAATTATCTTTTGTGTTAAGCACAAAGCACTTGCATCCGAAAGGATGAAAATATCCTATATTCGGCTTCCTGCCTTTCCAAATTTCATAAGGGGTTTTCTTAATTCCAGACCTAACCAAGGCTCTATTAATGACATAACAAGCAGTGTTCACTGCTTCTGCCCAAAAGTGTTTGGGAAGACTGTAGTCATTTAACATAGTTCTTGCTATTTCGATCAGAGTCCTATTCTTTCTTTCTACTACTCCGTTCTGTTGCGGAGTCCTAGGGGCAGAAAAATTATGGTGAATACCCTGTTCTAAGCAGAAAGAGTCAAAACTGTCTGAAATGAACTCACCACCGTGATCACTTCTGATCCCAATTATCTTACCTTGCTTCTCGGTTTCTATTCGCTTGGATAGCATTCGGAAATTTTCAAAAGCTTCATCTTTGCTTGACAAGAAAAGCACCCAAGTGAACCGAGAATAATCATCTACTATAACGAAAGCATAGCTCTTACCTCCATAACTCATGATATTCGTTGGCCCAAACAGATCTAGGTGAAGAAGCTCGAGAGGTTTACTAGTTGAGATCACAATTTTGCTTTTGAAACTCGACTTAGTGTGTTTACCTTTGGCGCACGCATCACAGAAAAATTCCTTCTTGCTGTTGATTTTGGGAAGACCTCTCACAAGATCTAGGTTAACTAGTTTGGACAGAACTCCTACATTAACATGGCCTAGTCTACGATGCCAATCATATTGATCATTCTTGTTTAAGGAAATTAAACACAACTCTCTAGACAGACGATTGTTGTCAAGATAAAAAACATAGACCTTACCTTCCCTTTTACCTGTGAGCAAAATTTCTCTAGTCAACTTGTTTTCTATGTAGCACATATTAGTTTCAAAAATGACCCTATTTCCTAGACTGCACAATTGATTCACAGAGATGAGGTTATGTTTCAGATTATCTACTAACATAACATTAGAGATACTCGGACCATAACCAACTTGACCTAGTCCTAGAATTTTGGCAGAATTATTGTCACCAAAATAGACTTTACCTCCATTACCTTCTTTGAATTTGACGAAGAGATCTCTATTTCCTGTCATGTGATGTGAGCACCCGCTGTCGAGAATCCATTTGTTTGCCTTCATGCTCACTTGAAGACAATCCTGCACTAACACTAGTCAACTTGTTTTTCGCACCCAGACTAGCTTGGGTACTTGTTTCTTTGAGAATAAATCATTATAAGACCCTACTCTACTGCTGCCCACTGTTATTGAAGACTTCTTTCGCTGTTCTGAATTTATACGCTTCATACAGTGTCTTATAACATGACCTATTCTATGGCAGTAGAAACATTCTCTATTTGCAACATTTCTAGTTACCCGCTGCTTCTCAAAACTGTAATCTTTTCTTAAGTCATTCCTTTTGTATGATTCTATTAGACCAAGTAGTTCAAAATTTTTGGTTTCTAACTCAGCTACAGTATGTGTCAACACACCACATTTCTCCTTGTATTCCTCAGCTTGTAAACCCAGCAGTCTACATCTGTTCGTGAGTTCCTCATGTTCTTCCTTTAATTTATTATGTTTTACTTTAACCGCTGCAAATTCTAGTTGTATACTCCTAATGGTGCTAGTCAAAAGTTCATCATCACTATAGTAGTCTGAGTCACTAAAGGTAGAGAACTTACTTACCTCAGAGTGATTGTTATCTGTATTCTGATCATCAATCGCCATTAAGCAGGTATCCTTCTTGTGAAACTGCTCCTGAGAATCCTCTTTATCATCTTCACTACAGCTCCACGTTGATGTCATTGCCTTTTCCTTTTTCCAGAGTGGACAGTCAGCCTTGATGTGGCCTTGTCTTCCACACTTAAAACAGCCTGTCTGAGTTTTCTCGGCTTGTCCAGTTTCTCTCCTTACCTTCTGATGCATACGACTTGAGCTTTGCCTTCCTTGTCCTTGTTCCCTTTCTGTTTCCTTATCTCTGTATTGGTGTGAGAACTGACCGCGTCTTCTCTCTTTTCTCATCCTCATGAGCTGAGAAACATGTTTGCTCAGCATTGCAAGTTCGTCATCATCCACGTCTTCGTAGTGATCAGATTCTTCCTCGTAAACCTGAGTCTTGAAGGCTAATCCACGTTTGACTTTCTTTTGTTCTTCTCCTGTTTCCCGCTTGATCTTTTCTTCATACGTAGTTAGCAATCCGATTAGTTCGTCCACTGGTAGCCTGTTCAAGTCTTTGGCTTCCTCGATAGCTTTACTTTGGCTTCCCATTTCTTGGGTAGAGACCACAGTAGCTTTCGAACTAAATCCCACTTTCATAAACAATTCCCATGTTTTCTAGACTGTTTACTGTAGTGGTAAACCGCTTGTACATCTGCCTGATTGTCTCTCCTTCTATCATTTTGAACAACTCAAACTCAGTCTTTAGTGCATTGATACGAGAGATTTTCACCTGAGAAGTGCCTTCATAGGTGACCTGGAGTTTGTCCCAGATTTCCTTCGCAGTCTTGCACCCTGAGACCTTGTGATATTCTTCTGGTCCAAGGGCGCAGTACATAAGGTTAGTGGCCTTGCAATTTTGCTGATACTTGTCTCGATCTTCATCCGTCCATTTCCGTCGATCGGCTTTAACCTCAAGTGGTCCGTCCAGAACTCTATCCCAAATCTTTGGGTCGGTTGATCCTATAAAGAGTTCCATCCGATTCTTCCAGTAGCCATAGTTGACCCCTTCAAAACGTGGTGGTCGATTCTGAGAGAATCCATCAGCCAGATACAGAACCGCTCCACTTCCCGATCCCGACGCCATTTTGATTACTCTGGAGATCGCAAGATCCTTTCACCAGAGCCGGGCTCTGATACCAAGTGTAGGTGGCGTCGAGCGCGAGATGCACCTGCTTCTTCCCTATTTGTTTTGCTTTGATTCAACTGTTTCCTGCAAAAACCTATTCGAAACTTTTGCCCAGAGCAAGTGAAGAACTTTGGTAAGGAAACTGTTTTGATCGAATAGAAATGAAAACTCCTTCCCTTCTCGTGTTTGTGGTGTGGCCAAAGGAGAATGGGCTTCTATTCTGTCGTGGGTTAAACTTAAGGCCCAAACTATGTATCCTAATCTAATAAGCCCACTTTACCTGTAACCTAATCCTCACCGTTTCACTAATGTCAAACCAACCTTCTCCACTCCTCTCCCACCAGTCGGATCTGCCTCCCCTGCAACTTAACTTAAACCCAGAAGCAAAAGCAGAGCATAGAAAACAAATTCGGCAGAACACGCTAGTAACTGAAAAGAAGCAACACACCGGAATTTTTACGTGGTATCCGATGTTAGGTGTTAATGAACCTAACACCGACTAATCCACGGTCAGAGAATCGCTCTTTTGCGATTTCTGACGATCCACTAGGAAATTGATCTTGAAGCTCACTTACAGCATACACACTACACTTTCGTTCGATCTGCACACTGCTCGATCGATGAAGCGTATCTGAACCTATCAGCAATCCTGCTAATAGAAACCCCCTGATACACCCTTGTACCAGTACCCAGAAACCCTCACCGTTCCTGTGCTGACTTTTAACTCAAACCCTTTTGCTCACACTCTTGCAGCTGTCTGATTTGATTACAATGAAACGTCTGCTCTGCATACTAAGTTCCACCTCTATTTATATTCATCTCGTCTCTATAGCCGTTAGACCAGAATCAATTCCTTTCCTTGCCTGTTCTTCTTCTTTCCATATGTGTGTTGTTGACGGTTTGAGACAGATTTCCCATATCTTCTTCCAGCTGTTGTCTATTGGATATTCCCTTGAGGTGAGAGCTGATTTCCAGATTGCGCTCTTGTGGATTTTGCTGAGTACTATTGCAAAGCTGCTCTCAACAAATACCTGTTTCCCATTGTCCACCCCTATTCGATTACAGGCCTCTGGAATCTTCTGGTTACCCATTTTTTGCTTGATTTTTTTTATTTGTATGGAATGTGTAAGTAGCCTTACCCTTGTTTTCGTTATTATGATAGGATTTTTCTTGTTAAGATACTATAAATCGATTAAAACCACATATTCATACCAGAACCACGATGATTCAGTAAAACCTATAAAATATAAGTAGTCCAAAGATTTTCTGAGTAAGAATCATTGTATCATCACTTATTCAAAGAATAATGACTAAAAATAAAAAGAAAAGAAGGGTTTGTTCGTAAAGAAATTATGTCTCCTCAATCATTATACCATGGTATCTAGTGTAAGGAAGTGGTTAAGCACCATACACGGGCCTGTATAAGATCCAGCATAACCTTCTCCCAATAACTCGAGTTATTGGGATCAACTGGTTTCTGACATGGTCCCTCAAACGAAAGCCAACTCATGGGCCTGAAGTTTGCACAGGCCCGCCATACCATGTGCTTGAAAGACAACGGTCAATATTGGGGGTCGTGAGGACTTGAACACGTGACCTCAAGAACAAACCTGCTCTGATACCATGTCATAAACCAGTTCTCCCAACAACTCGAGTTATTGGGAGAAGATTATGCTGGATCTTATACAGGCCCGTGTATGGTGCTTAACCACTTCCTTACATCTAGTGATCTCAATCATTGCTTTCACTTCCAATGAGCTAATTTCTGCCACTTGGAGACAAAAGATTGATGTTCTAATTGGTGACCAAGAAGTTAGAAAATTCCATAACCTCTATGTTTCCTGCTCTGGCCGAAGATCCTACTGATGCTAAGAAGACTGCTGATGAAAGGTGGAAAGAGGATTTAACTCTTGTACAAGAGCTACGTACATCCTCCTCAATCACATGAACAAGCCTAACACTGGCCAACGTGGCTGAAGATGATGAGTTAATTTAATGGCCTATGATCATTGTCACAAACGTGGGGTGGCCACCACAGTACTGGAATAGACGAATACTAGATGAGATTCGCCAACTCACAATGAAAGGGAGAACAAAAAAAAGGAAATCGCTGCCTTCCAAAATGAGGATAATAAAGTAAAAAAGAACCGTTTTTGTGGGCAAAAAAATCACTGGAGGTCCACCAAGATATTCGTCCATCACCATTTTTGCAATTTCAATTGAATTTGAGTAGCTAGCTCCATCCATATAGCAGCACGCATTTAAGTTGACGACGACCCACTTTGAGCCCTTGGCATTGATGAAGAATTGATACTCACACACTATTCAACTACATACTATCATCCTCACAGCTACGGGAAAATGGATGGATCTGTTAGTGTTGTGGTATATGATCCACGATTGAACCTTTCCCAATAACTCGAGTTATTGGGATCAACTGGTTCTTGACATGGTATCAGAGCCTTCTGTGACCGAGAGGTCTTGTGTTCGATTCCTAGTGACCCTCATTTGTTAAGCACATGGTATTCTTGTCTTCAAACCTGTGCAAACTTCAAACCCTTGTGAGTGGCTTTCGTTTGAGGGAACGTGTTAGTGTTGTGGTATATGATCCACGATTGAACCTCTTACAATAACTCGAGTTATTGGGATCAACTGTTTCTTGAAATCCCCAGCTAAAACCCACCCGCGAATTCATTTATTTATAACCAACTTAATACGTGTTTTCGGTTGACATGATGCAAGAGTGTGTGTCTGTCTCTGTCTCTCTTTTTTTTTTTTTTTTTTTTTTTTTTTTTTACGGACGGTTTAAAAGACAAATAAGCTTTCTCTTGTATATAATGGAAACTAGTCCATATGTATACCATGCAAAGTATCCAATTAACACAAACACGACCACTCATCACTTCATTACCACACCATATACATAATATAAGTTGGAACATAACCACAAAGAGTCTCTTTTGTTTATTTTATACAATATAACAGACCGCCTTTCAAATTTCCCCCCAATCATACTTACACAGATATAGTTATTATTTTGTTTTGCAGCTATCAGTTACTGTAATTTGATCTTTTCGTGTTAAGACAACCCAAATGAAACCCATCACCACCTAACCGTAAATGACCGCTTTTTTTTCTATTTTTGTTTCTCTATCCGGCCCAGTTCACATTTATTCTGGTAGAGTTGCTGCGTTTTCATTAATGGGCTGACAGCGATTCACCCGCCCCAATTACTGCTCCAGCTTGTGGGCCGGCCTGTGGTCCTCCTTCTTCACCGTCTCCGTCTCCATCGTTTTGTAGATGTAGTCGTACAAAGGCATGAACAGCGAGTAATTCTTCTGAAGCTTGGTGTGGTGCACCGAGTGATACCTTCGAATCCCACAAAACAATACGTGTATAATTCATTAATCCGAGATGTAATTCTCTTTTTCTTCGAAAAAAAAAATGCAAACGAGGGAGATCAGATCAGAGCCCCAGCACGAATACTTACGTGGGAGTATACATGACAAGGTTGAGGAGAGGGAAGTAGGCAAAGTAGTCAAACGGCGACCGGAAGTTGCAGTGTCCCATGTTGTTCATGAAGTCGATGTAGAAGATGTAACCGTAGATGGCCGCGACGGAGGCCGTTCCGGTGAACGCCACCGTCACCATCGGCACCGCAAACAGCACGATGTACGCCATTGTTTCCACGAAAGGGTGTATCACAGCTTCATTTTATTTATTTATTTATTTAGTCAACAATCCCATCGTATAAAGAAAAATCCCCATTAATTATGACCCATTATTCTACGTCGTACAATATTTTATAATACGGCCCGACCCATGCCATTATTGTACATCGTACGTATATATTTCATGTGTATGGAATTTCAAAAAAAAAAAATGGTATGGTAGTTAATTACTTACCGGTAATGGGTTGAGTGACAACGGAGGAATGGTGGTGGGAGTGATAGCGAGAGTAGAGGAAATGGTGGTGCAGTGCTCTGTGAAGCCAGTAGTAGAGAAACTCCACCGGGCCGGCGTGGAGGAAGGCGGTCAAAACGACGCCGTCCGTCCGCCAGAACGGGAGATCGGTTATCCAGCCCGGCAGCGCCGTCCGCGCGCCGTACAGCAGTAGCCCCGACATAATGATTTGGTCGTCCCTAAAAATCCCGTTACATGTCACATACTAATTTGATTTGATTGATCAAGGAAAAAGACATATAGCACATAGAATTAAAAAAAAAGTAAACCACCAGTTGCTTTCGCGGCGGAGTTGGTGGGCGTCGATGGGCTTGTTGACGATCCTGTTGGCCGGAGTGGCGGTTCGGCGGCGGTGGAGAGAGAGCCAGACCTCGTTGTGGAGGAATCGGAGGAGGATGGCGAAGAAGATGAAGAAGGTGCTCAAGTCCCTCGTCGGATCCTTGACGAACTCGTACGTGTAGTGAGCCACCCATGGAGCCAAAATCAAGTACTGCCATGCATATTATATATTATGATACACATCAATTCAAGTGTTTCAGGTTACTTAGAAGAAGGGGAAGAATATGTTGAAGGGCGTTACCTTGAAGGGGCCAAGAGATTCCCAAGGCCAGTGGGTGAGCATTCCAGGCTGTGAAGCCATAGCTATTAGCTAGCTGTTTGATGTTTCGGTAGCTAGAAATTCCCCCAGGCACGTATATATAGAGGTGTCAACCAGGCTGGGTTCGATCGAGTTGCGGATTATAATCAGGTTTTGCGGGTTAGTCGGGTTCAGGTTCATAGGGTTGCGGGTTATACGGGTTGATCAGATTACAGGTCGGTCGAGTTATGAGGCGGATCGGGCTGCAAGTTGTTTGGATCAGTGCACCGAGTTACTAATTACCCTCTGACTCGTTACTACAACTTGCACATTTTGTTACACTAATTAAAAGAAAACTGTCACATTTTTTAGCTAATTTATTTCTGCCTCGTATACGTACTTATAAAAAATTAAAAGAAAAATGTCAGTGTTGGATCGATTTGTATAACTTGCAAACAGTAATCTGATTAATCGTAACTAGTAAAGTACACTAGCTTACTAATAGTAATGGTGATGTCAAGTAAATGTAAGATAGCCTCACGGTAAAGCTACCGCAACTATGAAGGCTTAGGAGTTGCAAGGCCCGTTGGTGTTCCCGAAGGTATAAGGTTGTTGGCGTCGAAACTGATTGCAGGTGCAAGTTTAGTTGAAACAAAAAATCAGAAACGAACTATCTCAATAAAAGAAAATAGATATTTTGTGTCGGTTGGGTAGTTTTGGTTCATTTCACCAACACAATATTGTAGTTTTATGTCAAAAATTTGTGTCGGGTGTGCTACCAACATAACCTGTAGGGGCGCTTATGGTGACATGCATGTCAACCTAATTTGCACTTTTCGGTCGATCTCAGTTAGGATTAGGTCGACCTAATATGTTGTTTCAGTGTAAAAATAGTTTCATGGTGCCTACTCTGGAGATTCATATCTTACAATTGGCTAGATGAAAATTGGAGATTAATGGCTTGTTTTGAATCTGGAGTGTCCCTCTACATATTGAAGTGTTTGGGAGCTCGATAGGAAGTCCAGAAGACCATTTTTGAACCTGATCAAAAGGCTATGCCAAAACTGGAAAACTGTCTGAAAATGGCAAAGTCTGAGAAAATGTTTGTGAAGTCTACTTTTTCACCTCAATTCGAGAAGCATGGATGAGATTCGAGTCCAGTGGCCTATACCACATGAAAGTAGGTATGTTTGTCTACAAAGTCAAGGCATTGGATGAAATATTGGATATCTAGAAGGCTTCAAACAAAAGGCTCGAAGTTACTACGAAGTAAGCTGCCTTCTAGCACAAGACTGAAGCGGCAGATTAGGTCAACCTAATCCTATATGAGGTCGACCTAAAAGTGCAAGCTACGGTGACATGCATGTCACCGTAGCAAATTCCGGGGTTCGCTTATGGTGACATGCATGTCACCGACTCACCGTAATTTGCACTTTTCGGTCGATCTCAGTTAGGATTAAGTCGACCTAATATGTTGTTTCAGTGTAAAAACAGTTTCATGGTGCCTACTTTGGAGATTCATATCTTACAACTGGCTCGATGAAGATTGGAGATTAATGGCATGTTTTGGATATGGAGTGTCCCTCTACACATTGAAGTGCTTGGGAGCTCGATAGGAAGTCTAGAAGACCATTTTTGAACCTGGTCAAAAGGCTATGCCAAAACTGGGAAACTGCCTGAAAATGGCTAAGTTTGAGAAAGTGTTTGTGAAGCCTACTTTGGAGCTCAATTCGAGAAGCATGGATGAGATTCGAGTCTAGTGGCCTATACCACATGAAAGTAGGTATGTTTGTCTACAAAGTCAAGGCATTTGATGAAATATTGGATATTTGGAAGGCTTCAAACAAAAAGCTCGAAGTTACTACGAAGTAAGCTGCCTTCTAGTGCAAGACTGAAGCGGCAGATTAGGTCGACCAAAAAGTGCAAGTTATGTCACCGTAGCAAAGTTCTAACATGTAAACAAATTAATATAAATTTAAATAATTAATTTTTTTAATGGAACGGGTATCTCTTAAGATGAACAACAATGGAATTTCACCACCTAAAAGATAAAAAAATAAAAAAAAATTATAAATATTTATAGAATGTCGGTATAAAATTCTAGACAGATTATTGACTGAAATGAAAGAAAAAAAACAAGGGAAAAACTCCCTCTATGACCAATTTAAATTGTGCCGTTGGCATTGTAACTGGCCGGGTAGTGTAATCAATATTGGATATTTTTCGGTTGTGTAACAATATGATCCGCTTGAAATTGGACCAAATCATAATAATCACGGTTTTTAATTATATTGAAAGTTTTAGGATCAAAATATGATACTTTCAATTCAGTTTGGTAAGATCTAAACCACAATCCGGCCCACGTTTTTAATATTCACAAAATTAATGAAATCTAGATATGGACCATCTTATATTAGGTCAAGTTTGGCCGCAACAAATGCCGCATTACTGGGTAATTAAAATTCTTTGACACTCGGGTGTAGACTTTAAAAGTGAATGACAATTAATAGACTTGTGAATATCTTCCCCAATCTTAACTTATGAAAACAAAGTGGAGAGTTGATAATAACCGTTTAGGACTTTGCTACGGTGACATGCATGTCACCGTAACATGCACTTTTTCGGTCGATCTAATATAGGATTAGGTCGACCTGATTTGTTGTTTCAGAGAGTTGAGAGGTGTAGGAACTATATGAGTTTAGCTTGTGTTTTTAGTTTTTATGTGGTTTTTTATTTCATGAAGTGTGTTTTATGTGAACAATTATGAAGTGTGTTTTATTATATTTCTTGTTAGTGTGTTACGTTGTTATGTTAAGAAGTTATGGGTCCTTGATATCATGATATAAGACTGATTACAATGACTATCAAACGAACCACCTACATCGACATACATACGCAAAAAAGTCGAAGGTCATAGGCTAAATTTCCTTAATTCGGTCGACCTCTTACTTTATTCGGTCGACCTCGAGACCAACACTCGATCTTCATTTCACATAAAAAGGGATGGATAAATGGATAGAGCACTTTACTATTCTGTCTGGTCGACCTCTTTCGATAAATGGTCGACCATTTTGGTAATGACCACAATCGAGTGGTCGATCTCATTACATTTACGGTCGACCAAATTGCTTCAGACTACAATGAAAAGGGCGACCCATGTTTTATTGTGGTCGACCGTTAATGTCACAACTTAACACAAAACGGTCGACCACTATATTTTAAAGGTCGACCGTCATAAGTCATCATATTGCCCACATTAGTGTATTCGGTCGACCGCGGTTAGAAATAGGTCGACCGAAAAGTGCATGTTATGGTGACATGCATGTCACCATAGGCAGGGGCGGATACATGGGCCTCTAGGGGTGTGCCGGGACACCCCTAAAATTTGTGGAAACGATTATCCAACCTCCGGTAGTAGTTTCGTATGGGTATACAAAATATAATTGGTAATCCGGGACACCCTAACATTTGAAAAAATGATTATCCTACCCTCGACAATAGTTTGCTTATGAAAACTAAAAGTTTGAAGAAACAGGAGAGGAGTGAGAAAGTAGAGAGCGGATTCTCCCAATTTTTTGGCCGCAAGGTTTCCGATCAAGCGTGCCGGTCGCACCGGCCCCCTACGCCGGTGTGCGAGTGAGGTTGGTTTTTCTGCAATGGCTTCTTCTTCTTCATCGCCGCCGAATGCGACTTCGACCTAGGGAGTTCCGGTGAAGCCTTGGGCGGACCTGTTCGGCATCTCTGAGGCAAATCGCCTATGCTATGTCAAGCCTGGGGTCTACAAAGGCGGACTCCGTATGCCCAAAACAGTCATCGACGAGGGTGCCGCTCGCTGGAAGCATAGCCTGGTCGGGCAATTTCTTCATGAAGCTCCATCGCTTTCTGTGCTGCGGAGGTGGGCAAACAAGATCTGGGGCAGAGATGGGATGGTTCGTGTTTCACTTCTGGGAGATAAGCTGCTCCTGATACAGCTACCTACCCAGGCCACCTGCGATTGGATACTGGAGAGTGGCCCCTGGTTCTACTTCGACAATCTGCTATACCTGCGTCCATGGAAGCCGGGGATTAATGTTGAGGACCTTGGAAGGAAGGCTTTGCCTATCTGGGTAAGGTTCACTAATACTCCTCTTGAGTATGTCAATTTTCAGGGGTTGAGTCGAATGGGGAGTTGGTTGGGTGTACCTCTTGGTGTTGACCAAACCACCAGGCTAGGTGGACGTTTAGGGGTGGCAAAGGTCCTAGTGGAACTGCGTGCTTCGGGGGACTTTCCTGATCACGTCCTAGTCTGGCCTGATGATGATACTTCGATCAGGGTGGGTGTGGAATACAGCTTCCTTCCTCCTGTTTGTCAGGGGTATTGTTCGTTTGGGCTGGATTGTGGTTGTGCAAATAAACAGGGTGAGAAAGTCTGGGTGAGGAAGGATAACAGGGTGCAGGAGAGGGTTGACGTGGAGAAAAGCAAATCAGGGGGAGTATCTTCAGGTAGCCCAGTGGACAAGGTGGGAAATGAGGCTGGTGAGCAAAATAAGGGTAAGGAGAAGATGATGGATCAGGTGGTTACCCCAATTAATACCTCTGTGATGGTTGGGTCAAATATAATCCAGTGTGCTAACCTGGACACTCAGTTTCAGGAGGCTGCTCTATCTTCTCATCTCCCTTCAGAAGATGATTTTCAGCTTGTGGTAAATGGCAGTAAGCATCGAGTGTGGTCCCCTAGCCCCAGCCCTAAGAGTGTATTGAACATGGCTCAGAATTTTGAAGTGTTTAACAAGTATAATGAAGATGATGTTATCAAACTGCAGGAGGCGCCAAAAAAGGGTAGCAAGAAAGGTGGGAGGCTTACCTCTCCACCTCTGCCATGAAGATACTATTCTGGAATGTTAGAGGGTTTAATAAACCCTCTAAGAGGCAGGGTTTTGTCCAAACTCTGCGTAGTTATAATGTAGATATAGTGGTCATTATCGAAACTAGAATAAGACAGCACAAGTCTAAGGAGGTTGCTGAGAGTTTTTGTCCTGGTTGGCATAGGTTCTTGAATTATATAGAGAGTGATTTGGGGAGACTGTGGGTCTACTGGAACCCTGATAAGATTACTGCGAGGGTCTTGCTGCCTGGTAAGCACTTTGTGCATCTTTTGGTCCAAAGTAGTGATGGGGAGTCCTGTTTTATTACTGGTGTTTATGGTTCAAATGAAGAGGCTGAGCGTAGGGTTACATACAATGCTATGACCCCTCTAAAAATTTCTTCTATGCCTTGGATTGTGGGGGGAGACTTTAATGCGGTTCTCTGCCCCTCTGATACTTCAAATCTAAGTGATATGACTAGCTGTATGGGTGATTTTAAAGGTTGGGTGTCTACCATGGAGTTTTTTGATCATCGAGTGGTGGGGCCACACTTTACCTGGACAAATAGACAGGAGAGGAACCCTATTGCGAGACGTCTGGATAGAGTGTTGGTGAATGAGGAGTGGTTTGATGCTTTTCCAGAATGTATGGTGGAAGTGGTTATAGGCTCCTTCTCAGATCACTGTGGAATCTTAGTTTCCACCAAGCCTGATCAGGGAACACTACCTAAACCTTTCAAGTACTTCGATTTTTGATCTGAACATCCTGACTTTATGCAGATTGTTTAAGAGGGGTGGGATACTCAGGTCCAGGGAGTGCCTATCCACAGGGTCACGGTCAAGTTAAATGAGGTGAAGAAGGGTTTAAAGAAATTGAATAAAGAAGCATTCCAGGATCTGAGTGGTCAGGTAAAGTTGGCTGAGAGTCTCTATCTTGCAGCTCAGCAAGAGGCTCTGAGATCTCCTTCCACAGAAAATTTCTCAGCAGTTACTGCTCATCAGAAGAAGTGGGAGGAATTGAAGGTAGCAGAGGAAGGGTTGTATTGGAGAAAGGCCAGAATTCGAGCTTTAACTTTGGGGAATAGAGGCACCAGGTACTTTCATCAGTCAGTTAAAATCAAGACTGCAAAGAAAGCTATTAGGAAGCTTGTGTTGGATTCAGGAGAGGAGATCACAGATGTCAAGCTTATAGCTGAGGAAGTAGTGAGTTTCTATCAGACTTTATTTGGGACGGTGGATCAGGCAGTGAATACAAGTAAGCTGGAACTGGAGGCTCTGGTCACTAAGCAGCTGTCTGAGGATGAGAGGTTAATGCTTTGTGGGGCTGTTACTTCTGAAGAGGTTAAATTAGTAGTCATGCACATGAATCCACATCGGGCACCTGGCCCTGATGGATTCTCTGCTGGCTTCTTTCAGAAAACTTGGTCTATCATTGGAGAGGACATCACAGCAGCAGTCCTTGATTTCTTTTCCTCTGGCAGGCTTCCTAGCAGTGTTAATTCTACTGCTGTCTCCCTGATTCCTAAGGTAACCTCTGCCTGTAAGCTTAAAGATTTTAGGCCAATTTCATGCATTAACATTCTCTATAAGGTCATTGCTAAGCTTCTATCAAATAGACTAAAGAAGGTTCTCCCTAGTGTTATAAGTAATAATCAATCAGCCTTTATAGAAGGGAGAAGAATCGTAGATAACATTCTTATGGCTCAGGAATTAGTCAGTAGTTATGGTAGAAGGAATCTCTCCTCTCGATGTGCTATCAAAATTGACTTGATGAAAGCTTTTGACTCGGTAAACTGGGATTATCTGTTTTTAATGATGGAAACTATGGGATTCCCTGTCAAGTTCTTGTACTGGATTAAACTATGTGTTAAGACTTCTAAGTTTAGTATTTGCATCAATGGGGGGCTCTGTGGTTTCTTTGGGGCAAAAAGAGGGGTAAGGCAGGGGG